TACTCTTTCTTTTGGAAAATTACTTTATTAGAGGAATTTTTTATACTTAGAAGATCTACATGGTAAATTTTTATTTTTTTATACGTTTATTCTGTTCTTTTTAATACTACTTATTCCTGGTCTAATTCCACTCTGACCATTAACATTATTTGTTATATATATGTGTGTGTGTGTGGAGTAGTGGATAGAGGCTCGAATTGAGGAATCGGAGAGCCGAATTCGAATTCCAGTCGAATCCATTACATTCACTTACGTACAATACCTTGGGAAAGCTATGAATCCTCCCCTTCTCCCCCAGCTATAGATAAATAGCAGGACAGACCGGGTTCTATAGCCTTGGTCTACCGCAGAAAAAATGGCAACCTATTACGGGAAAAAATTTGCCTCGTCAGTCATATATCGAAAACATGATCGCCTAGGCGTGTATTACGCATGGCACATAACTGACTGAATGCCGATAAGATTTTTTTTTTTGCTGGTAATATTTTAAGAGTAAGAGGCACAGTTTATGCTGACACGTGAGGATGATAACGGTTAATTCTAGACTTGAACAGGTTAAAATTGTAGTGATCGGAGAAACATCCCCTTGGGAGTCGGTCCTACAGAGCAGTTGTTTGTAGGAAGAAGCTGTTCGAGTGGAACTGGTTTCTCACTGATGGAATACGGAGAGAAGGAGAGCGGTTGGCTACAATGTGAATAGCCTGGTGGGTCCTAGCCGTAAAGGTTCAAACTACCGGAACCAAGGAATGCAGTTCGTCCGAGCACTTTCCATTGAAATAATGACAGAGTGGTGAGAGGCTTGCCACATCCCATCTGTGAGAGAGAGAGGGCCGGAGAGCGGAAAATAATGTCACCCACTAGGTTCAAACGGGTTTGTGAGTGGAATACGCCTTTCAAGGTTGGTCGTGTGTCGGTCCAAGGTGATGAAAATATTTACTGATATGTTCGTTCATAATTTGTAATGGCATTTCAAGGTTTACTTCATAAAGGAATACTTACAAAAATAAACTTTTATTTTTTATTTTATTTTTTTTAATTAATGAATCTCTAAACGGAAATAGGGAAATGCCATATCATAATTCTGTGTGTTTCTTCGTTGGTTATGGATTTCATTGATTGGGTTTGGGTTATTTTACAGTATATCAAAAACGGTGGAATAATGGATAGTGGCTCGGATTGAGGAATCGGAGAGCCGAGTTCGAATTCCAGTCGAATCCATTACATTCACTTACGTACTAATACACTTGGGAAAGGTAAGAATCCTCTTCTTCTCCTCCCACCACAACTATGGATAAATAGCAGGACAGACCGGGTTCTATAGCTATGGGTGGCAACTGGTCTACCAGCCTACTGTGGGAAGAATCTGCCTCATCAGTCATGTATCGAAAGATGCATGATCGTCTAAGCATGTATCACGCATGGCACATAACTGAATGAGTGACTTTCTAGTCGAATTCATTACATTCACTTATGTGTTAATAGGCTTGGGAAAGGTATGAATCCTCCCCCCACCAGCTATGAGTAAATAGCAGGACAGACTGGGTTCTATAGCCTTGGATGGCGACTGGTCTACCACAGAAAGAAATGGCAATTTACTGCGGGAAAATCTGCCTCGTCAGTCATGTATCGAAAGTAAAATGATCGTCTAAGCGTGTTTCACGCATGGCACATAAATGAATGAATGACTGACTTTCTTGTCAAATCCATCACATTCACTTACGTACTAATGCCCTTGGGAAAGGTATGAATTCTCTTCTTCTCCACCTCAACACAGCTAACGATAAATAGCAGGACAGACCGTGGGAAAAATCTGCCTCGTCAGTCATGTATCGAAAGATACATGATCGTCTAAACGTGTATCACGCATGGCACATAACTGAATGACTGACTTTCTAGACGAATTCATTACATTCACTTGTGTGCTAATAGGTTTGGGAAAGGTATGAATCCTTCTCTTCTCCCCAACCCCAGCTATGGGTAAATAGCAGGACAGACCGGGTTCTATAGCCTTGGATGGCAACTGGTCTACCGCAGAAAGAAATGGTAACCTACTGCGGGGAAAAAATCTGCCTCGTCAGTCATGGAAAACATGATCGCCTAAGCGTGCATCACGTATGGCACATAATTGACTGAATGCCGACAAGATATTTATTGCTGATAATATTTTTTTTTCAAAAAGTAATTTTGGTAGTATTTTTTTCAACAATGTATTGCTGGTAATATTTTTTCCAAAATGGTATTGCGGGTAATAATGTTCTGCTGGTAATAATTTTGTCTTCAAAAATTTATTGCTGGTAATGAGATTAAAAAAAAAGTTTTGCTGGTATTAAAACATATTTTTACAGGTTTTGACCCCAGTTTGGGGGCTAAATATGTGCCCATAGCTGGGACCCTAACAGGTGCTACTACCCCGGGTCAGGATGAACATGGGAACACCAGCAATTAATAGATAGTTCCACGCTCCTCAAAACCTCATGATCAGAGGCCTTGCTGTCGGATGTAGTTGATCGTCTCAGCCAGGACGACTTTCGTTGGTTAGTAAGATAGCATGTGTTTTACGCCATGACATTAACGCATATAAATAATGAACCATTCCGTTTTTATTGTGAGGAAAAATAGGAAAAGATACAACAGCGACGCTGTTCGGTTTTAGTGAGGAAAAAGAATGCAATTAATTTAGTGAGATTAATTAATTTAGTGAGAAAAAGAAAGCAATATGGAAGGTATAGGAAGTGATATGATTCTCGTATTTAACGTCTGCGTCAATGAAATGGAAACTTTTTCAATATTGAATCTTTTGATTTGTATTCTCTTACTTCTTTAAATAAGGATTTATTCATACTTATTGTTATTGCAATATTTTTTTAAAGTTGTCAAATACTCATATCTGTTGATATTTCTGAGTTAAGGTATTGTAATTATTTACACTATTTGCAACGTTCGAACTGTTGTCCTCATCTTTGTTGTCATATTCATGACATTTCGGTCGTTGTACGCTCCGGCCTTCTTCAGGAATTATCTATATTTCTGAAACAAGGTATTGTAATTATTTACACTATTTGTATCGTTCGGACTGTTGTTGTCATATTCATGACGTTTCAGCCGTTGGACGCTCCAGCTTTCGTCAGGTGATTGGAATTTCGAACTGAATCCTTTATTTTCGCCCACCGGGGTAGATTTTTTCTAGCACTCTGTATTACTGGTTCCTATATTATATTCATTTCTATGCTTGATTAGCTCAGGAGATTTTTGTAGCATATGTGCTGATTCCTTAATTTTTCGTATTTTCCAGTAATGTTCTCTGTCTATTATTTCAACCTCATCCCACGTAGGGCATTAGGATTATAAAGCTGAAGCAGACTTTTAAAAGAATCGGAAACTCAATTCTAGACAGGAAACAAGGGATAAACAGATAGATAGATAGATAGATAGATAATTTCATAATTGTTGTGGTGTCTTCCCTCTAAAGAGTCTGTGTTGGTCTCTTCCGCGTACTATAAGATTAGTAGGAGAGAAGGCCAGGGATTGAATTTTATCGGGGGTGCTTTAGCAGCCAAAACACACCCTTTGCACGATCTTACAGTGTTTTCAATAGCATTGTCCACCTCGTCAAGATGTTGTGACCATGTAAATGATTAAAGAAATAACAAAACATGTGTTGCAGATATATCATATATTAAACAGTAAGTACAAGAAAAGAGTATTACACGACTAGTGAGTGTGTGTCGGTTGACCCAGCGTTCAAACTATTCGACTGTTCCCCAAGGCCTTCTCTCCTACTAATCTTATAGTAGGCGGAAGAGTCCAACATAGACACTTTAGAGGGAGGACACCACAATAATAATGAACAGAATGAGATAGATAGATAGATAGATAGATAGATAGATAGATTGCTACTGTTCACCCAATACAACGCCCAAGAGCCACTCAAGGTAGGGGGTTACTGTGTGGACTTATATTAGCGTATGAAAGAACAAACGTTAGGAGTTTAAGGCTGAAGCAAACTTTTGAAGGAACCGGAAATTCAGTCCTAAACAGGAAACAAGGGATAAACCTCTACTCCTCTTCAAAAGACCAGGGAGATGTATGAACCGGACGATAAGTGAACATATCTATTCCTATTTGAAGGGAAGAAATAAATAATTATTGAATAAAATTTCAGAGTCTAGGTATTGAATTATTATTATTGTAGTTAAGGCTAACATTTTTGTCGAGATTTACAAACTCTACGTTTCGTTCAATTTCGTAAACCAATCGATGAAATTTGAATAAATTGATTTATTTGGAAAAATACTTTAACAAAAACCTTATTTCGAAGTTTAATAATTCCTTTAATTTAATTATCTTTCCTTTTTTTTACAGCGAAGAATAAATTCTTAAGGTTTCTTACTCTTGAACATTCAACATACAACTAGCCATACGTAAATATCTCTTTGTGGATCCAAAATTCCAACTCCTGTTCAGAAGACTCCAAATAATGTTGATGCCACGGATTGAACTCACATCTCTTTGGGCCAAGTCACTTTTGGGATGAATCAACCCACGCTTTGATCCATTAAACCATGTGTTCACTAGTGAGTTATTTTATAAGACTTATAAACGTAATGTCTTAATAAACATTTTTTACCAGAGCTCATATCACATTTTTTTTTAGTCTATAATTTTTATCCTATTTGTTGTTGTTGTTTTTCTCTAGCTTTCTGTATTACTAGTTCCCATATTGTATTCATGCCTGTGCTTGGTCGCCATAGGAGATTTTTGTGCCGTAACGTTTTGGCACATATGTGCCGATTTCTTAAGCGGTATGAGCAGTAAGCATAAGAGGTAATAGAATGATTCGTTCTCTACGGTTTATCAACCCATTGAAGGTTATTTGAAGCCAGAAAATATTTTTAGATGGTAAGAATTGGTAAAGAACCTAACTGAAATTGAAAGCCCGCTCTTTGATAAAAAAAAAAAAAAACAAAAACGAACCATTACACCACACGCACATCGAAGCT